CTAGTCGACGTTTTTGTCGGTGTTTTATTTATATAAAATGTGTCTGAAAGAAACATACCGTGGGTGGTTTCAATAGTTTTAACATAATATATAAAATTATATTATGAATTCTACGAATCGTARTATTAACATTTGATGGTTTTAAGATTTATCTGAAAATTCCAATATCACCTACAGCATAATATAGACCATTATAAACTAGGTAGGTATTGCATGTCTATTATTTTAATAAGGTTATTAAAAACACATTACCATAACAATAAACATGTATTTTATGTGCATACAATTTAATATAATATATCGATGTGAGTAAGAATAGAGGGGTGTCATTATTATAAATCCATTAAATTAAAAATGCCCTACACAATGTATGTATAGTAAAAATCATGAATAAATCAGTTTAAATATATTTTGGAAATTATGTTATACTTAGGTAACTGTAATGGTACTCATTTTATGTTTGTTTCAATGTATAACAGTATAACTGAACATTAAGTAACTTTACAAATGTATAATAATTATTGTGTTTTATGCGAGGTTTTATGATAATTTACACACATTTAATTTTTTTTTTTTTAACTGAAACATGCATATTTCACAACAGTACCTATTCTTCTTCATGGTGCATATTTTACYMACTTATAAGATAAGTAAATACCTTAGTACTGATAATAAAAAATTGTTAATGAATTTGTGTTAAACTATACCTATCCAATTTACATAAAAACCAAARATAATTTTAAATTACAAATTATCCCTGTAAAAATGTATTGAAAGAATACAAAGTTTACAATTTTGGTAGGTACCTATAACTATAATATTCAAATTCTATACACTACAGTCTCTACATAGGTGCATTCAGAAAATTAAATTAAAAAGATAGATTTGATTATATTAATAATACAACATACGTAATATATAATACATATATAATTATAATATCCAMGAACCCCATATACCAGATACGATCTTATAGCTCAGTTGATATACGTCAACTATAAATAATGTAAATTATTGTAATTATTGTAATTATTTAATTGTAATTGATTAAACTGGAATAGATTTTATTACTATATGTACTTGATTATTATTCTTGATCGTGTATTGAATTGTTTTTTCAGATTATTTTCAAGATCTTGAGTTGGAATTAAAGATATCATAATATTAATCATAAAATCTTGATCCAGAACTTTATTTGAGTTTTTAAAAGAGAATATTTTCTCGTATGTATAAAAAAATAGTTATTAGATTTCCGTACTAATATAATATACGCTATACATTATACACGAGTGAATTGGATCGCATTATTATACAATGATTAACTAAAAGCAATTAGGAAAAAATTTGTAATAATGTAATATTGTCAAATGTTAAGTGTCCCCTACCCCTGTGACGTGCCCAGACATGTTTAATAGGGGGAAAAATTGTTTATATAATAATACATTTTACAATAACTTTTTGGTAATAACTAATACAAAGTATTAATTARTGACTTTAAAACAGTTATTATAACATTTATAACTATTAATAAATTGTTTTGTGTAGSTTGAGAAAATAAGACAATGTTTGAGATATAACCTCCCCATAAGAGCTCGCATCTGCCCCCCTGAAAACATATTGAATCAGTCCGGTATGCCAAAGCACACACTAGCACGTCTTGATCAGTCCTAACCTAACTTATGAATGATTTTTAGACATCACCATAGCGTTTTTATCGTTCAAGTTTTGGCATCAGTTAATAATTGTTGAGTTAAAAAGACGCTGTGTTGTTTTCGTCTAACAAATGTAAAACATAGGAAAAACTGTTTTACGCAAGAACCTAATCAAGAAGGCTACAGGCATAACTATAAGAAACGAAATTTCCGTCAAATAAAAAGGAGGATTTTGACTGTGAAATATATTGTTTTTATTTTTAGGATATCAGAACTATACGAAAAAAGTTATTCAAGTTTGAAAAACGCAAAAGTAATGGATTTTGAAACAATGAGAACTTTTTCGTATAAGTGATATTAAAAAAATWAAAACGATATTTTACAGATAATTTTCTCAACTAAGTTGTATATCACTTTGGAATCCTCGCTATCACTACAGTCTGAGAGGTTCTATCCCGCGCAAAACAGTTTTTAGTATGTTTGACATTTGTTAGACGGGGACACARCCTCCAAGACAGCACATGTGGATTTAGCATTCTCTTAAAAATTAATAGATTATTTTATTTCTTATTTTCTTAGTGTAAATCCATACGAATTAATAAAAACGCAGTTTAGTTAGTTTGTCTCAATATTCATTTTATAGTGTCTAATATTTATTGCAAAATAATAAAATAGACTCAATAAAATATATTAAATGCCTATTACTTGTATTTTGGAAAAATATTGTTTAGAGTTGTTAACAGTAAATATAAGTACACGAAAATGAATAGGTAGATAAAGTTTTACATAGAATATGTTATTAGTAAATACTAAATAGGTATAAATAGGTAAACCTACTTCATTGATTTTTCATTTTCATGAGGAAGTATTTAAATTTAAAGAGTTTGATAATTTTTTGAAATTATTAGCAACCAAAACTCTTATCCTATATAATATCATAGAATATAGAATAAGATAAATATTGGTTTTTTAAGATATGGGCCTATATTAAACCCGAATACTGGTGTATACGAGCGAAGAAAAAACGCTGACTTAAGCAGTCTGTTTAATACAGCCAATTTAAAAGATTTTCT